AGCTCTCCCTCGCTTTCTCTTTCTCTCTCTCCCTCTCTCTCCCTCTCTCTCTGAGTCTCATTCTCTCTCTCTCTCTCTCTCTCTCTCTCCCTCTCTCTCCCTCTCTCTCTGAGTCTCTCTCTCTCTCTCTCTCTCTCTCTCTCTCTCTCTCTCTCTCAGGATGTATGGCTCTGAGTGCACTCAATTTTTCGAGTGAGTGTCTAGATCTGTGATTTTCCTGGACTACGTGACTCATTGTGTTTACCCTGCAGTGCATTTGACGTGTTTTCATGTTTTTACTCCTATATAATTGGTAATGCTTTTACCATTGTAGGCAATGATGCGTTATGTTGTCGTGTAATGATCACATAATATCAACAATGCCTTAATTAATGAAGGGAATCACTCTATTCTGCGTGGTTTATTCACTCCTCCAGTCCTCGTGTGAAACGCTAGGTGACGCTATAATGAGTTCTTTCATCTCCCCCACGTGGTCGGTGGTAGTGTCGGGGAGTGGGGGCTCATGTTATAATCTGCCTATGGTCTAACAATACAGCCACAATACAGTCCAGTCCGAGTAAATCTTTTGTTATAATGCCACGGATGTCACTGCTTGTCATTTATGACAATTAACTTCTGAATGTTACTGTTAGTTAATAGCAGGTACGCGAACTACGATAATTATTTCCTGTGGGAAATCGCACTGACCGTTTGCTACCCGCCTTCCTTCCCAAACAGAGCGAGAGGCGATTGAGAAAAAAAACTCAGCCTAATGTATTCCATCATGAGCATAATAGTAGCAAAATCAACGACAAGAAATAAAATTATTGCCATAAATTGCCACAATTTTGAGCAACGTGCAAGAGCCCCGATATTGCAAAGTGCGTGTATATGTAGATATGCCACGTTCACCATGTGTGGCCACGAATCGATATTTTACGCTAGACACGATGATATCGTGCACGATATCTCGGATATTTTCGATTTTTGCATCACGATGTATATTTTTTTGGAGGATTCGTGATCGTTATGCTAAGATATCGTAATCGTCTATCACTAGCAGCTTTAGAAATCTGAATATCATAATATTGAAAAAGTACATGTCTTCGAATGTGACAATTTCCCGGCCGTGACATATTGTGTTGTCACCGGTCACACTTTTTTTCTGCGACCCAAACGCAGCGACGGCAGTTGCGAAGTGGTCGTCGTGTCGAGGCCGTGTGTCCGCGCCGCGGCCCGCGCGCGAAAAATCAGTCCGTTTTTACAGTAAAGGGATTTCGCAGCAGCGTTTTAGAGGCAAAACGCAAAATGTCAAAATCCCCCAAAGGGCTCGAGTTAGACGCACCGCTGAAGGCAGCAGCTAGCCGTTCTAATGGATTTTACTTCTTCTTTGAAGAAAAGTTTCAACGTTCAACGTCTCATCGCCATGAGCCGTGAGGGGCCAGGGGACAAATCCATCGATGTGGGAAATGTTAGGTTGTCTGTGTTATGGTATCTCTCTCTCTCTCTCTCTCCGCTCTCTCTCTCGTCTCTCCTCTCTATAGTATATATATATAATATATATTTATATATATATAGATATATATATATAAAAATATAATATATCGTGAAAAACGACTCAGGATGACAATTTTGGGCGATTACAAGACCGTCAAAAGGTCAAAGATTGAAACGAGGGGAATATTTCCCCTTAACTAACGTAATAGGAGAAATACGGATTACGGCACAAATCTTTTAAAAAAAAAACGGCCCCTCGACTATGCTCTTAATATTCGGTGATATAGTTGAAATGGGCAAGGAAAACCATCACCAGCTGCGAAAATGGAGGTCACACGTCAAAAGGGGCAGCTGGGGCGACAAAGCGTTTCAGATATCAGACATTTTCTGAAATGAACATGGCCTAAATGGACAGAGTGGGAAAACTTTTTTGTTTCAGCGCTGACTCATCCCATCGCTGATTTTTTATCATTTACCTGTTTTCTGCTATTATTTTTCTATCTTTATCCATTTAACTATTGTTTCCCATTAACGCAGAATATTTCGATTATTTATTTACAACATTAATAACAACAAATAATTTTATACAATAATATTTTTTTTTAAATAGAGGTTAAGGTGTGCATGCGTTTGAATCACAATGCACCATCAAACACAGGAGTTTCAGCGCACGCGATTTGTATCAAACATGGGATTTGGGAGCGTAGATGCAGAATGGCAGAAGGTTGCTGCAAATGATGTGTACGCAACTGCGTATCTGCTCATCTGCCCGGCTAACAAAGGTGTCACTACGCCACGACTTAAAATGTTACGTTTATAACGCGTAGCAACAGACATCAGATTGAGCCCAGACGCTCTGACGCTGATTGTTCTTATATATTTTTTTTTTTAGTCTGTATATATGTATCTCTTTCTCTCTATCTACTATCTCATATATCTAGATTCGTACGTAGCAGCACATGCGTTTTTTTAGCTCACCTTGACATCGTCAGCTGAGCCTAGTGCCATGGGTCGGTCGATCCATCGTACGTCCGTCCGTCGTGGCCGTCCGTCAACATATTGGCTACGCCGTCAACGATTTACATCAGCAAACCGTTTGACCCAATTTTGACAATTGGGTATAGTTCGTATGCCTATGCTCCCATACTTCGAACGTCTATATTGTGATTCATTTTGTTTATAAATTATTTATTGCGACTATTACAGATGGCAACCCGTGTGTGTGCTACCCCTAGAAAAACTCATACGACGTAAACCACTTCCATGGTTATCAATTTAACTTAGACAAAAGGGTGTGTTATGGGCAGGGAAACACGCATTGTCACGTTGGCGTTATAGCGAAGGCTACGTGAATAATTGCGTATCCTCTATCTTACACGTTAACATCGGGAGCTCCGCTTTTTAGCGCAGTGCCTAAATCTGAATACTTATAAAAACGTGAAATGGCCGATCATTTTAGGTGTAACACCATCACTGCCGCCCACATGCCCAGACTTTCACGACTCTGCACAAGTGTTATTTTCACCGATAAAAAAATTTACAAATATATATCAAGAGCTATAGTAATGGAGTTCTCCCAACTTATATTCTCCATGTGTCTATAATGTACGTCGATGGATTGCATCAATTAAAACATGACTTTCTTGCTCACTCCACTCATTTGTGTCCTTTTTTGTGTAGCTACAGTGTCATTGACACTTCATTAAAATCTAGGCGATTTGTTACACTCTCATATTTCCGTTTCATCGGCGCATTTCCGCGAATTATCCGACCAACTAGATGTTCTGTTTAAATCTCGCATGATCGAGGTTCAACCATGTTGTATCTATTGTGTTGTATTTATTTATTTAGGTTAGGTATTTATTTTGTGTGTGTTGTATTGTATTGTACTGTACTGTACTGTACTGTACTGTCTGTACGTACTGCTACCTGTACGTTACTGTACTGTACTGATACTGCTACTGTACCTGTACTTACTGACTACTGTACTGTACTGTACTGTTACTGTACTGTACTGTACTGTCTTGTATTGTATTGTATTGCATTGCATCCCGTGTCGCGCGTGAGATGTCCTTCGTGTTTTCTCACCTGCACCACGCACTTTCCATTGTTTCAGATATTTCACGAACACGCCTCATCCCGCTGGAAGCTCGCCCGACATTGTGCAGGCAACCTACATAGAGAGCAAGTTCAGCAACGCGCGTCTGTTCGATATTCAGAAGCTCAAATACCGCGTAAAGCTATCCAGACCTGATAGGTAATGTACACTTATGCATATATATATACTGCTGCGTTGCGCCTTGCTGTTCCGTGCGTGCGTGCGTGCTACGTGCGGCTCGCCGTAGCTTGTGCGTGACGTGCTGTGTGTTACTACATAATCTCTGCTATTCTTGATCACATCTAACAATAGATAGTTATTGCAATAACGGTAGCGCATTCACCATAACGACTCCGGCCTGTCGCCCCCTGCAGAAGCGCACAATGTTGCCGAACAATGTGAGCCGTCGTCGGATTGGCGACGGCCAACGTCACTTTATCTAGCCTGCTGTCGTCGATCTATGGCAGTAACAACAGCGAGGATCGAGACGGAGAGCCGTGCAAGCCGTTCATGGCCTACTCACCCGCTGGGACGGTGGAGATATGTTGGTTAGGCTATACTATACATAGCCTACACGGTTAGAGCTATGTATAGTTTACAATCATTGTATAGACTGTATACACACACAGCCGTTCTGGTACCTACTCGCCGCTGGAGAGGGGGAGTATGAGGGTATAGTCTTACATATACATAGCTACACGGTAGAGCTTTATGTATATACACATTGTATAGTATCATGTATACACACCAGCCGTTCCATGGCCTACTCGCCCCGCTGGGACGGTGGAGGTACTGATGCGATAGCCTCATATACATAGCTACACGGGGTAAGACGCTAGTATAGTACACATGTCCTATAGTAACATGTAACACACACAGCCGATTCATCGCCTACTCGACCGCTGGGACGGGTGGATGGTATGATGGTACCCTTATACCCTATTCATAGCCTACACGGCGTAGAGCCCGTTGCATGCGCGCTAGCTACCCACTGGGACGCGTGCTGGAGTATGATGGTCAGCTATACTATACATAATAAGCTACACGGTGGTAGAGCTATGTAGTCAGGACACATGTATGTACAATCGTATACACACACAGCCGTACATGTCCTACTTCGCCCGCTGGGACGGTGGGGGTATGATGTAGCATTACTATACATAGCTACACGGGTGAGCTATGTATAGTACACATGTATAGTACATGCTATTCACACAAACAGCCAGTTCATGGCCTACTACGCCGCCGCCGGACGGTGTGGAGTACGATGTAGCTATACTATACATAGGTACACGGGTTAGAGCCTAATGTATAGATACACATGTATATACATGTATACACACGCAGCCGTTCGTCGCGCCCTACCTCGCCCGCCGGACGCTGGCACGGATTTACATGGTAGCTTTACTAGACATAGCTACACGGGTAGAGCCTATGTATTAGTACACATGTAAGTACAATGTATACACACACAGCCGTTCATGGCTACTCGCCCGCCGGGCGTGAGGGACATGGCCGGCGGGCGGCGCTAGCAGTTACTATACATAGCTACACGGGTAGAGCCTATGTATATACACATGCTATAGTACATGTTTTACACAACACAAGCCGTTCATGGCTACCATCGCCCGCCGGGACGCTGGAGCGTACATGGTAGTATACTATACATAGCTACACGGGCTAGAGCTATGTATAGTACACATGTATAGGTACTATGTTTACACGCAGCCGCTTCATGCGCTACTCGCCCGCCGGACGGTGGAGGTACATCGCGTAGCTATACTTATACCATCAGTACACTGGGTTTAGAGCTCATGTAATAGTACATGTATAGTACCATGTTTACAACGAGCCCGTTCATGGCCTACTCGCCCGCCGGGACGGTGGAGGTCGATGGGTAAGACTATACGTATACATAGCTACACGGGCTGGTAGAGCTATGATTAAGTACACATGCTATAGTACATGGTACACACACAGCCGCTTCATGGCCTACTCGCCCGCCGGGACGTGGATGGTACCATGAGCTAGCTATTACTATACATAAGCTACACGGCTAGAAGCATTATGTATGAGTATACATGTATAGTTACATGTAATACCCACACACAGCGCTTCCTGCCTACTCGCCGCGGACGGTGGAGGTACGAATGGAGCTATATATACATAGCTACACGGGTAGAGCTATGTATAGTACACACTGTATTATGTACATGTATAAACGCAGCCGCTTCATGGCCTACTCGCCCGCTGGCGACGGTGGAGGCTATGATGTAGCTATTAGCTATACATAGCTACACGGGCTTAGAGCTATGCCTATAGGTACACATTATAGTACATGTATTACACCACGCAGACCGTTTCAGTGGCGCTACTCGCCCACCTGGACGCGTGGAGGTACATGTTAGGACCTATACATTGCTAGATGGGTATAGAGAGTATAGTACATGTTTACACACGCAAGCCAGTTCATGGTCCTACTCACCCGCCCGCCGTGAACGTGACGGTCGATGTAATGCTGACTAATACATTAGATAGGTAGCATATTAACTACATAAAAAGTCAGCGAAGGTACGTCAAATTTCACACAGAACGAACTGAAACTCCGGAAATATCCGCGCCCGGGCTTATATAAACATTGAATTGTATCAATAGAAACAATAACAAGACTTTTGAATGTGTATAGTCATGAAATTTCTCTTTTACTAGAACAGGAGCGACATGCAATTTCCCCACGCAAATGAGGATGCATGAAATGGCCTATCTGCCACTTCCAAATTTCAAATTATTCTGGGGGCATCCCCTCAGCCCCCCCCCCCCCTAGTAGGACCGTGTGCGACGCAAATTAAAGACACGAACTTGAAATATTTCTTCCAAACATCTCAACCGTGATTTTCATAGCCCGATACATATCTACATAATTCATGTCCACTACATATATGTTGAGGAGAGTTTGCTGTAACTTGAACTTACGGCCGTTCGTGAGGAGACTACGACAGTCAGCCTCATGAACGCGTTCAGCGTCACGCCATCGTGTTGTCATGCTGCGTCAGGGCAAGATTACCCGCGCCCAAGTAGGTGAGAAGACCGTGACCGGTCGCCGTGACGACCAGCAGACGGCGTGGCCGGGTCGCGCGTGACGACGCAGACGGCCCCGTAGGCGTCGCCCGCGACGACGACGCCGACCGCACCTCGTCGTAGCTTTACGGTCGTTACGCGGATACAGATGAATTAAGTGCTCGCGTAAAATTTAATTATTTTTTCCATAATTTATTAATAATTAATTGTATCCCCCGCGACGGAAGTCGGCGGGAATACTATGATTTCATGGTCTCTTCAGCCGCCGCCACAGACACTTTCCCTTCCGCTCTTATTAACTAGGACCCTTAATTCGCACCTTAGCGCGATCCAACTTGGTATACGATTGCACATTCTTGGAGAAGGTGTGTCGCTGTACCTCAAAACCAGTGTCACTGCCGACCTTTTATTTGACCTTTGACGTTGACATGATCATATTATCCCTGGCTGCTCTATACTCGGCCACCTTAATTGTCCTAGCGCCGCTATCAAAACTTGAGTATACTTACACATCTTGGGGAGAATAGTTTCCTTCCACTCTATAGACTCGCCCCTAATTGATCTCTGTAGCCGACCAAAACTTGGTATACTTGCACATCTGGGGCAGAAGTGTGATCGAAGATACCCAAAACCAGGTCACTGCGACTTCTTATCTTGACCTGACCTTGATCTTGATCATATTTCCCTTGCCGCGCTATAACGCGGCCCCTAATTGATTCTCGTTGCACAGCAACACTTGGGATACTTACACATCTTGGGAGAAGGACGTGTCGCGTACCAAAACCCAGGTCACTGTGACTTATTTGACCTTGACCTTGATTAATATTTTCCATCCACTCTATAACTCGGCCCTAACTTGACTAGCGCGAGGCAAAACTTGTCACTTACACATGCTTGAGAGAAGTTGTGTCGCATCACCAAAACCAGGAGATATTCATTCATACTAGGAATCTGCGGGGATACATGTCTTTGTGCGAAATTAACTGCCATTTTTTAGTATTAGTTAGATTAATATAACTTTAAGTTTTAATTTATCGCATCTCGCGAAGCAACGTAAATTCTTTCTTAAGTATCGCCTTTTTATGTATGCCGGGGCAGAGGATGCAGATTTTCTTAGCGATGTCTTTGTTCTTTGTCGGTTGCTGAATGATTTTTGCTCAGTCACTTGTCACCTGCTGCCATCTGGTGACTGGCTCGAGCATCTTTGTTCAGCCTGACGAAAAGACAACGAAGCTCGACAGATTTTTGAAACTTTTGCTGCCGGGTTTTAGATTTGTCGTGAAGAAAACTTAAATTAGTCTTTTATTTTATTTATAAATTTTTTTAAATTTAAATTTAAATTTTATTTTAAAAGATTCTAGATAAAATAGATCTAATAATAAACTTTATTATTCCAATATAATTCACGGGTGTATCGTTAAATTTCCCACCAGGTGGAGTACGCGCAGCAGCGGCGCTCTCGGCGTGCTGCTGTACGAGATCCCCGCAGTCGCCCGCACAAACCAGGAGCGCAGCCTGGCCGCGAAGGCGTTCTGGCTCCCGGGCGACGGAAATCCGATACGGAACGCTGCCTGAAGAACTTGGCGATCCGGAGACGCCTGCACGCCCTTCTTTACGGAGGTTGCAATAGCATCCTATGTTCGAATAAATTTACTCTCTTTCTTTTTTATCTCTCTTTCTATCTCTCCCTCTCTCTCTCTCTCTTTCTTTGCTCCCTCTCTCTCTCTCTCTCTTTCTCTCTATCTCTCTCTCTCTCTCTCTCTCATCTCTCTCTCTCTCTCTCTCTCTACTTCTCTCTCTACATTTCTATATTGTTTACAGATGATGAATTGCAAGATAGCGTCTACAGAACAGAACCGACGGGTCTTCCAAAGATAGTCGTTCAGCCGATCAGCTACAATGATGCAGAGATGCTGCTCAGGTAAGGTTAGTTAAAGTGTAATGTAAGTGAGGTTGAAGTAAAGTAAGGCAAGTAGTGCTAAGCGTACGGTAACCGTAGTGTAATGTAAGGTGAGGTGAAGTAAGGTAAGGTAAGGTAGTGTAATGTAAGGTGAGGTGAAGTAAGGTAAGGTAAGGTAGTGTAAGGTAAGGTGTTCCGTGCCACGCTACGTACGCAGCAATGATGACAACGATGATGAGCGCGTATCAAAGCACACGTAAATCATCGCATGCCAACGACGTGCTTTTTAAAATGTCTTCCACAACTCGACAACTCTCTTCAGCCACTCGCATTTACCTTGTGCATTATTGTGCATGCTTAAATTAAATGTTAAATAAAAGTTAATGAAATCGCTCCAATGTTTCTCGTAAATGGTTGAATTGATAATTGAAATTCTTGAACTGTACAGAAGCTAGATATCACGATATTGTATAAAGTGCAAATTACACAGGTAAATTCAAATGTTATGGAAATAAGAATAATATTAATATGTTAATAATATATTTGTAAATGAAATGGCGATAAAAATGGAATAATTAACAATGTCATTATCATAAGTTATTCTATATTTTATATATTAGGAATTTAGTCCGTTTTTTATTTCGTCTACTTTCATAATATTTAATCGTCATTCTTGTTATTAAGCTTAATTTTCTTCCTCAGCACCGTGACAGAAACGAACGTGCTTAATAAATTTCTTAATTGTTCGTTATTTATTCTCACTATCGCTTTGCTAATCGCTCCATCGTTTCCGAATAATATTCGTGTCATATTCATTATTTATTCCCGATCGCTAATCTCATGTTGTTTATGTTCATCGCTTTTTTTATATTTTCTTAACGTAAAATTAAGTACATTTTCATCCTTTTAATCCTGCGCTTAATTTCTCAATCGTTAATTATTTATTCTCGTTATTCTTTCCGTGATCGCTAATCGCTCCGTCGTTCTCATTCCCGCGGCGACGACAGGGAGATGGGCGGACAGGTGGCGCCGGCGAGCTGGCGCGGCGCCCTCGCCAACGTCTCGTACGCCGTCGGCCCCGGTTTCCGCGGCGACAGCGCCGTCGCGGGCGAGCGCGTTCGCGTCGAGACGAACAACGTCGCGGAACGCGTGATGATCCACGACGTCGTCGGAAAGTTCGTCGGCCGCTCGGAGCCGACGCGCTACATCGTCGTCGGCGCGCACCGCGACGCGTGGCACCGCGGCGCCATGGACAACGGCGTCGGCACGGCGACGCTGCTCGAGCTCGTGCACGCCTTCCGGCAGCTGTCCGTCGAGGAGCACCTGTGGCACCCGGGCGCGAGCATCGTGTTCGCGAGCTGGAGCGGCGAGGAGTTCGGCAAGATCGGCTCGACGGAGTTCCTCGAGCAGTTCGGGGGGGAGCTCCGCGGCCGCGCGGTGGCGTACGTGAACGTGGACGCGCCCGTGCGCGGCGACCACGCGCTCTACGTCGCCGCGTCGCCGCTCGCGAAGAGCGCCATCTACGCGTCGGCACGCGCCGTGCCCTGCCCCTCCCCCGCCCACGGGAGTTCGAAGGAGGACGGCGGCGGGGGAGGGGTTCACTCGATGTACGACCAGTGGCTGGAGGCGGACGCGGGGCCGGACGTGCGGCCGCGCGTGAACTACCTCAACTTCCACTCGGATACGATGGGATTCTTCCTCGAGGGCGGGATCACTTCGATATCGCCGTCGTACAGGTGAGAGTCAGGGGGGGGGGAGGTGTTTTAGGGGGATGGGG